TAGCTTCTGGACTAGGTCAAAGTTTACAGTCCTTGGCAACCAGAAGCAACTTTAACTGAACTATAGAAGGTCAGGTCAGGTTTTAGAGTCAGAAGACCTGGGTTTGAGTCCAGGTCCATCATGTACATCCATGTCACTTTCTAAACTCCACACATGTAAAATAGGGATGATAATTCTATCCATATCCCCACCCCCATACGAATTTGCCAACCACCTATTATTCATAAGGCTCTTTTGCAAGTGCTAGAGACACAGTAATGACCACAACAGTGCTCATCCCTGTTTCTGTCGTGCTTACATTTCCAGTGAGGACAGACAAAATAGTTCCTGTTGGTGACAAGTATGATGAAGAACCTAAAGTAAAATGATAGAGAGAAAATGGTTGGGGAGCTGGTCAGGAAAGGTCTCTCTCAAACCTCAATGACAGGGAGCTGGTGAGATAAGGATTTGGACAGGGGCACTCCAGGCATAGGAAAGAGCTTCTGCAAGATGCTGCGGTGGGAATGGGCTTCCCATGTTAGAGGCAGCCCATGTGGCTGGAGGATAGAGAGAAGGGGGCAGAGCCATGGGTGAGGAGCTCAGCCAGAGGGAGGCTCAGTGGGGCCTTGAGGCCACTGTAAGGCCTGAAGATTTTATTCTAATATGGATGGGAAGTCATCAGATTATTTCAAGCACCAGAGAAATACACTCTTATTTATACTTTTAAATGCTCACTCTGGCTGCTCTGTGGAAAGTGGATTGTAAGTGGCTGAGAGCAAAAGCAAGGAGACTTGTTATGAATATAAATGAGTAATGGGAAAATTAAATGAGGTAGTAAGTACAATTTCTAAAGAACTTTCGAAGCACACATAAAACAATAGCTATTAATAGGTCGTTTACTACGCATCAAACTAAGGGCAATAAGGAGAACATATCAGTTAATAGCACAAAAGGCAAAGAAGAGCAGGTGAAGTGCTTCTCTTAATTTTAGGTTCCTTGTCAATCAAGAAGTATATGTTCCCTGGATGTTTGTGAAGATAAAGTGTCTAGCTCAGTTCCTGGATCATAGTAAATGTTCAACCAAACATTACTCTCCTGTCCTGCATGATTCTAAAAAACATCAGTTGAGGCGTCTATACTGTGAGAATTCAGCAAGGCTAAACCTTATGGGTGGAAGTAAAAAAACTAAAATGGAAATTAGAGGCTTCCTACCTAATAGTCTGATGCTACACAATGATAATTCTACACACTCTCTGGGTTTACAAAGCACGTTTTACACACACACCCCTAATGCAGAATATGGTTTGCCGTCAGTCTCAGTACCTAATATGAATGGCCTTTTAATGCAAGCTAAACTCTTGCAATGAGTGCCATGAAATCCCAGCCTACGCAGCTTACCCTTTCTGACCACTTTGTCATAATCCTATTTCCTTTGCTTTAGCTCTTTTCTAAGGTATCAGCTCGCTCTTGTGTCCTGAAATACTTGAATATTTTAATCTAATTCTCCTTTTTTGATGGACAGATTTATTTTCTATCATCTTTAATGAAATTTCCAGAGATAGGATGTAAGTAGTTATGTTAATGAAATTTATGTTTGTTTCTCTTTTGCAAAAGAACCCTTTGGATCAGTGTTGTGTCAATCAAAGCCATCAGAATGATGGTCATCGAATGCAAACCTAATCATTCAAGTCTAAACTCCCTTGAGACACACAAACCAAAGGAGTTCACACGTCCCTATCTAGTTATTATTTTCTTTTGTTCTACTTATTTTTAATTCATCATAACTAATTACATTGGTTAATTGTGTTGATGTCTAGAATGGGAAGTATTGAAAGTCATATGTTAACTGGGATTCATTAAGAGTAAACGGTTCATGATTTATGTGAATAACAAAATATGATCATTTCTAGAATGCTCCCTTTTTTAAAAAAAATTACTTCTACTACTGTGTGCATTGTGTCCCAGATAATGCTCAGAACAACAGGTTTTTATTTTTAATTTTTTATTTATTTCAATAGGTTTTTTGGGAACATGTGGTGTTTGGTTTCATGAATAAGTTCTTCTGTGGTGATTTCTGAGATTTTGGTGCACCCGTCGCCCGAGCAGTGTACACTGTACCCAGTGTGTAGTCTTTTATCTCTTACCACCCTGACCCTTTCTGAAGTCCCCAAAGTCCAATGTATCATTCTTATGTCTTTGCATCCTCATAGCTTAGTACCCATATGTGAGTGAACACATATGATGTTTGGTTTTCCATTCCTGAGTTACTTCACTTAGAATAATAGTCTCCACTTCCATCCAGGTTGCTATGAATGTCATTATTTCATTCTTTTTTATGTCTGAGTAGTATTCCATATATATATATATATATATATAATATAATATATATAATATATATATAAATATATATATTATAATATATATATAATATATATATAAATATATATGTTATATATATATCTCACATTCTCTTTATCCATGAGTTGATTGATGGGCATTTTTTGGGCTGGTTCTGTATTTTTGCAATTGCAATTTGTGCTGTTGTAAATGTGTGTGCGAATGTCTTTTTCATATAATGACTTCTTTTTCTCTGGGTAGATACCTAGCAGTGGGATTGGTGGATCAAACGGTAGACCTACTTTTAGTTCATTAAGGAATCTCCACACTGTTTTCCATAGTGACAACAGGCTTTTTGAGTAAATACTTATTTACATCCATACCTGCAATCTACAAGATAATATCTAATTAACACCTGACTTTTAAGGCTTCACTCAGTAGACCTCAAAACAATGGATGAATTTTTGAATGATAATGAAAATTTACTCTGAGTTGTGTAAAACACTGGAGTCTGAGGAAACCACAGACTTATTCAAAACCTGTCACTAATTTATTTTCTTACCTTAAATTTATCTTAACCCTGTGGATCTCAAACTCTGTTGGCTATCGCAATCACCTGGAGAACTTGATAGCTCTATGCATGCCCACACCCTATCCAACTTCAAAAAGTCTGGTCTTCAGTGTTGTTTAGTAGCACCTCAGATGATTCTGATACACATCAAAGTTTGAGAATCACTGACTTAACCTTTTGGGATATTAATCTTCCTAAAAAGAAATATCCCATTTGTGTGAGCTTTGAAGGAACAAAAGGAGATGGGCGTTAGAGATAGGAAATTACTAAAGACCATCATTGCCAACCACTGGTATGTGGAGGTAACTTGTAGGTCTCACCAACAACAGTATATCCAGTAGGTAGAATTTCAGGACCCCAGTGTCGTGGGTGTCTCATCCCTCCTTGGGAATGGAATGGGAATTACATGTTGCCCCCCTGTTCTTGCAAGGATAAGAATCAAGAATCCTCCTTAAATAAATTCCTCTTGAGCTTTCTCATGACCCAATCGGGACTTCTCAGTCTCCAGGTTTCCCAGCAATGCCCCAACCAATAAACCTGCCAATTAAGCAACTGAATATCATTATTGCGAATGTAATTACAGACAGTAATTATGAGCTTGTAAATGCCTCCCATGAATGAAGCCCTTTTCCCAAACCATCTCGGCTGCTTTTCTTTGGAAAATGGAAAGCAATCCTATCCCTTGCCTCACCCCAAGTGTAGCCTTCCTTGCTTACAAGAAACCCCCTTCTTGCTGACCCAAGGGACATGCTAAGCAAGCTTTAATAGGCTGTGCTTTAAGGGGAAATGTCCTCTTGGAGTGGAGCCCCTTTCAGCATCTCTCAGCCAAGCCTTGTTTCCCTAGGGAGTAATGACTACCCAGTTTGGCTGTATTTCTTAATTTCTGTGGGGTCAAGGGAATTAATACCAAATTTTAGGAATTTCTGTGGAAAAATCAAATCTTAAAGCCTTTTCAAAATAGTTTGAGAACTTTAACATTATTTACATTAAGCTTTGCGAGATGCAATTTGCTGAGGATTTAGAGTCTCTGAAAAAAAAGCAGGCACCATAAAAACATGCATGGTGAGAAGACTTTTCATGTCTGTGGAAATAATATCAATCTCGTTGGGCCCAGAATTAACCCCTGCCCTCAGTAACTTTATATTTAGCACATGAAAACCTCAAGCCCTTATGGATAATGGTACTTGAATGAGTTACACATGGATATGTTTAGCTCGAAATGCAATACAATCTTTCAAGATCTCAATCTGTTGTTGCCTTTTAATGGATAGTGAGAATAAGTGCCTGTAATTGCACCAGTAGCTAGCACAGTCGAAAGTGGTAGAAGTCCACAGCTTTTTGATTTACCATGCAATGAATAATGCCATGTAAACTCTGAAAAGGAAGAATCTATGTTTATATAATGTACCCCATACAATGCTTAGCACAGCCCTTTGCATAGAATGAATTTTCAGAGCTCTTCTCTGAATAAGATCAAATGTTACACCCAAAAGTTAGCACAGTGTACAATTTTTAAAAGGAGACTTATTGCTTATTGGCCAAATTAAGCTATTTCAAGCCACAGCATTTCCATTTACTATGACAAAGGAATCATGTGTTGATGATTCCTTTGTTACTATTGTTTATGGTTTTCTCCTGGAGTAGGAATACAGTGTGCATGGGCATTGGAATTTTCTCGTAGTAACATGAAAACCCAGAAGGGTAAATGCAACTTTCCAAAGTGACTGAGTAATTTACACTTTTAGAGAAACCATCCTAACCAACATTAGCTGAAGACATCTGGTAGCTTTCGAGAGGGTGCTTATGAAAACCTAAAGCATTTTTAACCCTCATGTTAAATAATTTAAAATTCACTTTAAATATTTGAAAGTCAGCTTAAAATTCACTGTGCTATGCACAGGTCAGGATAGACATGTCTCTCTAAGCCCCAGGGATATGGGTATCCATGGTCTTCTGGTAATTTCAGTGTTAAAAAAATTCACATATAAATTTGTGAATTATGATCACTTTAAAGAGACCATATAAACTCTGAAAAGGAGGAATGACATATTTATGTTATATTTTTTCTAATTTTGACAAACAGTAACTTAAGAATTTCTGAAAATATGGATGACCAGATGGATTATGTTTTTTTAATGTGTACAACATGCATACAAATATGTGTGTGTGTGTGTGTGTGTGTATATATATATATATATTAGCTTGCTCATTTTTTCTCTCTATATCCATGTACAGTAAAGATATTTAAGGAAGTAAAATTTGCCACCGGGGAAGGTTAGTGTCAGAAATTTTTCATCATATCATTACATTTTTTCCCATTTTCTATAGGCCAAACCCTCAAGTCCCTATAAATTAAACAGAAAAAATATATATAATATACATAAATAATTAACCAGCTGCACTCCAACCAAAGACTTTAAGTTCATCATTCTATCATTAGGGCTCTTAATTTGTCCCACAGCTAAAGCACTATCTGCTTTCCTTCATCGGTTCTTATTGCCAACTTGGGACTATATTGAAGCCCTTTACAAAACTTTTATTTGTAAGATCCCCTTCTTTTTTTTTTTTTTTTTCTTTTTGTAGGCCATCAGAGGTAGAAGGTGGTAAAAACAGAGTTGCCACTCTCGGTGTGGCCACGTGAGCACGTCCCATTTAAGTAACAGGGTGTCCCTCAGGTCAGCTTGTGATAAAACCCAAGTCAAACAAGGCTGAATCCTGGGTGTTTTATGTCCTAAGGATCTGAAAAGTGTTCACGGCCAGCCCTGACCCTCAAGACCTCAAATGGTCATCTAAGCAGTAACATAAATTGGTGTGTAAACTTGCTCCTGGGCCATTGCTGTGGAAGTGGGACTGGCGAAAGTACAGCCTTGCCATGCGAGAACTAATGTCTTTCTAGGCATTTAAAATAAGGGGGAATGTGTTGATTACTCCGACAGGCAATCCAACTGCAGTGGCTAAATGCCCAAGGCTGACAAATTCTGCATCTTATCACTACCGTCAAGTGGCGTGTGAATCCTGTAAGCCCCAAAAGAATTGAGACACAACTTGCCTTCCAAAACTCTGCATCTCAGCAAAATCTTGACAATGCCAACAGCTCGTCATCTCGTGTTTTTCAACCCTTTAGAAAATGGCCTTACAGCCTGGGACAAACCGAAGCACTGTCCAGACCGAGAACACGACTGGAAGCTAGTAGGAATGTCTGAAGCCTGTCTACATAGGAAGAGCCATTCAGAGAGGCGCAGCACATTGAAAAATGAACAGTCGTCGCCACATCTCATCCAGGCCACTTGGACTAGCTCAATATTCCATCTGGACCATGATGATGTGAACGACCAGAGTGTCTCGAGTGCCCAGACCTTCCAAACGGAGGAGAAGAAATGTAAAGGTAACCAGATTTTTATTAGCCCATTATCATGTGTTTCAACAAGAAAAAAAAAAAAATCGTGTTGTAACTGTGTACTCCGTCTCCATTTCTCTTCCAATGTATGGCGTCCCATGTTTTCTCCAACTGTTCTTTTACAGGGTGTCATTTTCTTCAAATATTCTTTTTAAAGTAAATAAATAAGTGGAATCCAAAGAAAGCAGCTTGTTTTGGATTCACGTTGTGCTGGGACACTTGGGGTGACGACATTTTTACTTCTCTAATTAGTAGAGGGGTTAGTTTTGGCTTTAATTCCATTTTTGGGTCTGAGTTAAACAGGCATCGCTGTATTTTTATGACGTCTTGCTTTAAAGTGTGTCTGTGCATATGTACATTTCTTTTCGCAATTGTGCCAGTAGCTAATGGGATCTCAATGCCCACCTTTAACCTAGACAAGTCATGCTCAAATGAGAGGTTTTAAGTTGTTGTCTTCTACTCATTAAATCCTTGTGTCATCATCCTGAAAGGAGAGATTATGGTGTTAGGAGGTTGTCACCTCATAAGGCAAAAAAAAACATTAAACTGGCCTAAGTTCCTGATTGCATTAGATTTAACTGTTCTTTACCTCAGGTCGCCTCCGCCCTGACAGATGTCTTCGTCCTGATCGCTTTATTGTCTTAGGGCTCCCCAAAATCTTTGCTTCTTAAATCAATTTGTGTCTTTCAATGTCCAAGAGATCAATTTGTATCTTTAAATGCCTAAGTTCATTTAATTTCCCATTCTTTTTCAGCTTAGTGGGCTTTTTTTTTTTTTTTTTAAAGGAGGGTCTATTTAGTTTTTCTTTATGGATTGTGACTCATGGTAAAGTTTAAAATTGTGTTTTGAAAATCTCGTAATCATATACCAACATATAATAATGAAAGTTTACAAAGACTCCCATTTACAAGCCCTGAAGGACTTACACAGCTGTTCTACTTTGAACATATACACATGATTATATTTATCCTTCATACAAAAGAACTGGTCTTTTAGGTTTTCTGAAAATACTTTGAAAGCTCCTAGGAACTACCAGTTTACCTGGGAAATTGAGTGTTTCAGTTGGAAATAGAGTTAATCAAAAGTAATAGTGAAATAGTGTTATGAACTCTGATTTGAGGGCAGTCAAAACTATACATGTCCCTTTGGAAAGGTTTCTATTTGGACTCTCTTATATATATATAATCGAGGAGATCTGAGAAATTGAAAGGGCTATTTAGAAAAAAAGCAAAATAAAGTTTTTCATAGGAGTCAGGATGTAGGACGTGTGTGTGTGTGCGCACGTGCACGTGTGTGCATGCACAAAATACATTTGTTTGCAATACAATTGAGATTTAGTCTTAGCATATGTGACCAGATTGTATCTCCAAATTATATGGGCTGGCACTAAAACCATGTCAGTTTACAGTGAAATGCCAACAGATAACTCTAGCATCCTTGTGATCTAATAATGTCATAAACCCAATTTAATTCACTCACAATTGATACCCATATTCATTCACTTATTTATTCATAGAGTCCATCTATGTCTCTATCATTTAAAATAAACCTTGGCCTTACATATCTAGTTGCCAACACCACACATTTCAGTTTGTTGGCCATCTTAAAAGCAAAAGGAAACAGTCTCTGTTTGGATACAAGATGCTTAGTAGAGTGGTTAAGACCACAAATATTTGAGACTGATCTATTTGAGCTAGAATCCTAGCCTTTCTACTTTCTGTCCTTGACCAAACTTATAAGATTAATACAATTAAATAAGATGATGCATTTAAGCATTTAGCAACGTACCTGACTTACAGTGCTCTCTAAATAGCAGCTGTCATTATTGTTGTCATCATTATTATTAGCTATGCATCATTAAGTCATAAAAATACCTTGAATCATGCTGTGAGCCTGGTAAGGAATGAAGCAAGAGGAGACTTTCAGATGGATGTGGGGTGGGGCATGAGGTTTCAGGGAGGTTACAGTGGATAATTCATTTTGCATTCATTCAACTCTTTTTCACTGAAAGTCAGATATGTAATAAGAGAATATAATTAAATTATTAAAGTCCTTCCTCAAGATTCTAATATTAACAGGAAAACAACTAAAATAAGTCTCCCATGTTTTCCAGAGTAACCACCAGGGTTCACCTTGACATAGTCATGAGGCAATGCCTTGGTTCAGCATGAAAATGCCACCAGGAAACCTATGTTATCACGGTCCAAGAAACTTATAAACTAAATATCATTCATTCAGAATGGGCACATGTATTGAGTGAGGCAGCAGTGAGTCCAGGACAGCAACAAGATTATACAGTCTTTCCTTATAGAGCTGGTTCTCCATCTGCTCTGCTTGTCAGCTCTGTATAGTTACTATGAAGAGAGTTCTATTTTGATGTTCATCCATGTTGAGCATTTATTTCCTAGATGGCTGTCTATCCCACACTTGACATCTCAGTCTTGGGCTAGTAATCCATGCATTCACTCATCTGTGTTTATTGAGTGCCTGTATACAGGATATTGTCCTTGATGTCCAAGCATAAGAAAATGGCAGCAGGGCCAAAAGAACATCCAACTAGCCCTATTCCAAGGACCCCATGTAGAAATGATACGAACAAAATAGTCCTGAGGATACAAAAGTTAATTCTGCACAACAGGATCCAAAGAACAAATTGACTCCTTGAAGCTATGCAGTGAGCCCATCTGCCAGATCAGTCACCTAGCCAGGCTAGAGCAGTGCACTTCTAAGTGTGGTTTGGGGACTGGGACCTTTCTGTGAAGTGGTTATTACCATTTCTATTGATGCAAATACAGAAACTGAGAGTAAGCTTTAGGAACTTTTATAGCAGTTTGACGTTGCCACTGGCATCCAAATGCATCCAAATGCATGATCAGTGAATTCGTCTCACTGAACAGGATATAGACAATTAGATGTTGTCAAACTTGCCTGGTCAGTCACGTGTGGCTTGAACTACGTAAAAATCTTGTGCAGTAGAACCATATATTGCTCCACAATGGACCAGATTTTTAAAATAGGCTTTCACTTCAAATAGTTTGGGAATCACTGATTTATGTTTGTAGTACTCTTAAATATTGTTTCTTTAGGGGTTTTTGGTAGCTATCTAAGATTTTGTTTGTCATTTTGTTCTGAATACTGCTCTTTTTTTTTTTTTTTTGAGACGGAGTCTTGCTCTGTTGCCCAGGATGGAGTGCAGTGGCGCAATCTTGTCTCACTGCAAC